AGAGGACTAGAGTGGAGAGTGAAGAATCCAGCTGATAAGAAGAGAGGTCACATGCATAAGTACACCCACACTTACAGATAATACCCACTTGACCTGGCTTCAATGGCTGGATGATCAGAGCTCAGCCATAAGAAGAAAGAAGAGGGAAAAAAGAATAATCCCAGAGAAGCAGTGATGCCAGTGATGGAGGCAGAGATGTGGAGAGATGGAGGGGCTGGGGACTTTGGACCTGGAGGGAAAGGGGCTGTGTGCTGATGACCAGGGGCAGGCTTGTGGGGTATACCCTGTGGTTGGTGGATGATGCATGGAGGGGATTGTAACCATGGCAAGGAAACGATATACGAAGGGATCAATGTGAAGCTAATGCTCTCCCATGTAAACGATCTCATAACTCACAATAAAACATTAAAAATAAATAAATAAAAATAAAATGGTTCCAATGGGGTGAAAAAAAATCAAAAGGCCAACATTTTCCTAAGGACAGAGTTGAGAAGGGATAGGAAGATGGGTGGAATGCATATAGGAACATAGGAAGGAAGCAGAATAACTGCTGTTGTATGGAGAGACTGCAATCACTGAAATGAAACAAAGTGTGTGATTTGTTTAATGTAAATCTTGTCAATAAACCTTCACTCATTCCACACACACACACACAAAACACACCAAAAAAATGGGAGCGTAATCTTACAGTCCAGAAACAGAGCACCCTAGGACCATCAAGGGAGAAGAGAGCATAAGCAGAACGCGGGACCTTATCCAGAGAAGCAGGGATGCCAGACGGAGACAGAGATGAGGACATGGAGAGGGGGAAAAGCAGCTAAAGACTCTAGAGTCAAGGGAAAAGAGGGACTAAGAGCTGGCGGCCAGGAGGAAGACTTTCAGAATGGCGTGCCCTCTGGGGGTGTAAATCATTATAAATGCCTGAATGTTTGAAAAAAAAGCTAAAGTGAATAGAAAGAAATACTGTTATCTGATGACACATGGAGGGGATTATAATCATTGTAAGGAAACAAGGTGTATGATTTGTTGAATGTAAAACTGATTTTCTGCCTTGCAAATTTTCAGTCAATTCACAATAAAAACTTAAAAAAAAAAGAGAAGACATATCACTGTCACACACACACACACACACATAGTACCATGGACTACCCAAAGAATAAACAAAGCTGTGTAAGGGGAATTACAGCCAGAATGCTCCTTAGAATTGAGGACTGTAAGACTTGGTCTCATGTACTTGGACATGTTGTCAGGAGGGAACAGTCCCTGAAAATGGATATCACATTTAATAAAACAGAGGGCATGTGAAAAAAAGTAAGATTTTCAGTAAGACTGATTGATATAGTGACAGCACCAACAGACTCAAGTATAACAACTGTTGTGAGGATGGCGTAGGTCTGGTGACTGTTGCTCTCTATTGTCCATGGGCTTGCTATGAATCAAAACAGACTCTATAGCACCTAACAACAACAACCAGATTCAGTCTCCTCACCCACGTGCTTACCTCAAAAAGAGTCAAGGTGGAAGAATTAAATAAAATAGTTCACATAAAAGCACACACACACAAATAGAAAAGTTTCCAAGAACACAGCATTCTAACAGTATAAGACCGTACATGCCAAAAATATTATATAAAAGAACATAGAGGCGGAGCGGATGAAATGAAATGCAGATGGGTCTCTTGTGATACAATAGTGAATAACTGTTATCAGGACTGTTTGTGAGGGTTGGAAATGTAAAGGTAGACATTTTATAGCAAGGAAGGGAGTGATTAACTTTCCAGTCTAGGAGCGGAGAGGTCCCTAGGACCATCAAGGGAGAAGAGCAGAGAGCGGGACCCTACCCAGAGAAGCAGTGAT